CCAAAGTATCTCAAAGGTACAAAAGACACACATACACTCAGCTAGTAACTACATAGATATAGCTATTTTGTATATGTAATTTACAGTTTCACGCCCGGATGACTACCAGAGCCAAGTTGAAGATAGCATCCGTGTATCTGACAGATACTATTACCTCTCTCGACATATTATAGAGATCTGAGAGCTTGAATGAAGGAAATAAAGTAATGCTTTTGGGGGGAAAGTCACGTCCTTCATAAGAAATTAAATAACTTTTATAAAACTGGAATACTTTAACAAAAAATATACTTTTCTAAGATATTAGAGCTTAAAATTCTTTAAAAGGAATTGAACTTTTGAAGCATAAATGAAAGTAACATGATATTTTTGTCCAAGTATTCCATATTCGCTCTATAAGACCACTATAAGGTCTCAGGAACTTTAAGAAGATAAGAATACCTAAACAAACAATACTTTTCTTTAATTTTTGAGGCCTAAATTCAATAAATAATAAACTTTTGAAGAATGAATGAAAGAAAACCCTCTCAACTTCACCAGAAATCTCTATAAAAACCAGGATCTTTGTAAGACTGGAATACTTTAGCATAAACCATACTTTTTATAACATTTAAGCTTAAAATTTGTAATATTTTTGAATTTTTCAAGTAGGAATGAAGAAAAATATTATCTATTATTATATTTAAAATATGTATTTTTGCCTAAGGAATCAATATTAATAACAAGAAACCTTTATCCTTTACCTTTTTCTATTAATCTTTACCTAGATCCCAATAACCATATAAAACCACCGGTATAAAGACTGTTTTCTTCAAGTTTTCGACCTTTTGACTTGAACTCTTCACAAAATATTTAATTTTCCATAGCTATCGTTACAAACAATACCATTTAGAGTTCTTTATATATAGTCCTTTTAAGCTTTATTTTGAAGAAATAAATAAAATAAACAATACAATCAATACTACAATGCCTCTAACTAATTCTACTTATACTACTTTTATCTTTTAGTCCAAACTACGTGAGAAAGTATCTATTTTTTAAGGAATATACAAAAATTGCTTCCTATTCCTTTAATCTTTAAGTGTTAGAACCCAAAATAGAACCCCTGATCCTAATAATACCAATCCAACTTGTCCGTTTGCCCTCCTCCTTCATCCATCAAGCTGGCAGAGCCAAAGAATTGGCAAAGAAAATAGGAAACAGCCTGTTTTGACGAGGAGTCGAGTCACATGCCAAAATCCTTGATAAATCAGTCAATCACGCCATTTGATCAAGATTACAGCCCCAAATGGCAGCCCCCCTAGAGCCCCAATACGTGTCGGGAGTGAAAGAGAAATAAATATACATACATCTATGCATATATTTTGTATATATTTTGCAGTAGATTGGCCCTGCAGTACGTGCGTGTTTCCATCAAGAATTGGGTTTGGAAGCTATATTAACTCTGAGGCCAAGTTAGGAGAGTTAGGGGTCTGTCTCTATATAACCCTTGAGGTATATGTGTTTCTATTTAATTTTGTTATTTTTTCAGCCTATTTTTGTTTTGGTTTTGTTTTGTTTTTTGAGAAAAGCGACGCCAGTTTGTCTTGGCCTGGCACTCGAACACATGTTTTACTTCTTTGGCTTTGGCAGCTGCCACCACTGCCACTACAGAGGGAAATCTAGAGCAAAACAACAAAAACACAAATCGAGAAAAGAGCTTGCATCCTGCCACCAAAAGTAAAAGGTGTGGCAGTCCAAGGGAGTCAGCAAAAAAAATAAGAATTAAGCAAACATTTATCGATTTATGGCGCAAAACTTAAAGCTTGAACTGGAACAGCACCCAAAAAGGGATGGTACTTTGTAGACATACCCCCTACATACATGAAAATATATATATATTAATATATGTATGTATATGTAGGGGAGTTGGAGTCTCTGCCTGGGCTGATTCGATTTTAAGTGAAGCCCATTAAACGACGAATCAGCACGAAAAATTCACAAAAGAGACGAAAATTGGTAAAGGGAATGGCAGAAAGAACAGAATACGAATTTATAGAGGGGGGGAAGAGGGGGCGATAACCTCAATTTGTAACATTGATTGGAGCTGATGCAATGAATGAAATATATATATATATAAAGTATTTAAGGTCATGGGGGGACAATAACGAGATACATCCATACATTGTATTTCAGTTCAGTTGTCACTGAAATCCCAGGGATTTAAGGGCTTTAGGGATCTCTTTGGAAATCTAAACAAATCCCCCATTAAGAACAGAAACCCCAAAGAGCCCTACACTTCCCTACACTTTCAAAGAAGAGTGAAAATAAAGGGCCTAATGGACATAAAAATATTAAACAGAGCTTTAAATAAATGTCTAATAGAAAAAAATCCATTTAGGAGAAAAGATTTAATGAAAAATATTCTCAAATATATTCTAAAAAATACCTTAAAAATCATCTAATAAGAGACGTTTCTTCAATTTCAAATACTTTCTATAAAATATAACAAATTTCACTATTATATTTAATGAAAAATATTCAAAAAATTATCTTAAAAATCATCTAGTAATAGAACTACCTAATTCTATTAAATTTTTTTTTAATTTCAAGTATTATTCTTAAAGTATATATTAATTTTCACTATAATATTTACTGAAAAACTCTAAAATTACCTAGAAAATCATCTACTAATAAAAGTTTCTTTAATTTCAAGTAATATTTTTAATATATACCAATTTTTACTTTAATTAGTTGTGAAAATTATTCAAAAATTATCTCAAAAATCATCTATTAAAAGAACTATGAAACCCCCTAGTATCTCTGTATCTAATGCCTCATACACAAAGTTGCCACAAAGTTGCAAATCCAACCGTAACTAAACAAAAAAAAATATATATATTGAAAGCTACACAACAACAAAAAGATACAAAGATACAAAAATACAGATACAACAACAACAGGCCAAAGGAAAACCAATAAAGGCAACAAACAGTGCCGGGCCAACAACTCCTCGACGTAAACTTCATTTACTGTCTGGCTTTGGCTCCCCATTCCCGCCCGCCCCACCACTCCCCCTTTACACCCCTTTTTTGTTGTCTTCCATTCCCCATTCCAGTATTATTGAAAGGCCTGCACGCAGTTTGGTTTTTTTTCTTTTATTTCTAGCTTCCAACACAAAATTACTTTTTGTGGCTTGACTGGTGAGGTCTCGCTGCCGCTCTCTATCTCGCCCGCAGTTCACTCTCCCGCTGCCCTGCTTGCTCTCACTATCTATAGACAGTGGTGGTCAAAATATTAGCTACCAAGAAGGGGGGCTAATTAAAGATTAAATCTAAAAGATAAAAGTTTTTTATTTTATTTTAAAGAACCTCTTTGTTATTTCGTTGCTTATCTTTCCTTCTTACTCTCTTTTACTATTTATTGTTGTTTTCTCTTATTTTTGAGTTCATTCAACTGTCAAAAAAAAAGAGCCATAAACACATGGCGGAAGAAACCGAGATATAGATAAATATAATAAGAAAGAGAGGCAAGATCAAAGCTTCTTACGTATTCTTCCCCCAAAAAGTACAAATCTTTAATATTTACCTTTTACTCCATTTCCTCTCTTATGTTCTACTTCTACTTTGTGTCTATTTTCGTAGCCAGTGCAGCTGCGTTTTGAACTTTTTCGGTTCTAAATTTAAGTTTAATTCTAAACATTTACCGTAAGGTTCTTCTGCATCTTTCTCTCTAAAAGTTGTTCCTTGTTCTTTTTCGGAATTTTGTATTTATCTATTTTCGTTTCCGTGTGGCTGTGTGCGTAGCTTATGGCATTGTTTCGCTGCCTTAAAGTGCAGACCTCCAAAATGCAACTATTTCTGGCCCGCATACTAGATACACAGCTAGATACGTATCTATAAGATGCATCAGCAGCAACGGATGCATCTTCAGAATCAAAAATCTGAAGAGTGAGAGTAATTCTTCAATAATCTATAGTTGCTAGAACAGTTAACTATTTTGTTGCTAATCCCATTGGATTTCATAGTCATCGTTGCGAAAACTGCGCCAAAATGGGAAGCTCTAAAGCTGGAGAAGACTCAAACCAGGAAGGAGATGCGGAAAACAAGAGAGCAGAGTTGGAGAGTTGGAGGAGAATGAAGGAAAAACACAACACACAAAAAAACGTTACTAATACAATAAACATCTACTGACTGACTCTGCCAACGGTATATATATTTTTTTTCTTTCTTTCCTTTTTACATATAAACTTACAACATATATGTATGTATGTATGCATTGAAAGCTGCCAGAAGGGGAGCTAGAAAAAGAAGAAGAAACAGTAGGCGGAATGGAGTGGAGTGCAATGGCAACAACAACAAAAGTAGCAAATGAAGGAGATAAAGTGGGAAGAGCAAGAGACCTCTGCTGCTGTTTTTATTTTTTTTTTGCTTGTGTGTGTGTATCCAATGCAGCAGCCGCAAAAACAATAACAACAAGCGGCAAAGTAACTTATTTTTGTTAGTTGGCCACGTTTTTTTTCTTGTCTTTTTTTTTTTGTGGATTTCTCTTTCGGCTATTTTTTTTTTGCAAGTGAGTGCCTTGGAATTTTGCAACATAAGCCAAAAGCAAAGCCAAAAAGGGAAAGAGAAATTAATTCTGGAGACGTTTACCCCCCCAATAGCTATGTATCTCTTTCTGGCACAGAGACAGCATATGCAAAAACAAAAACAATTGCAACAACTCTTAATTGACAGACTTGTGTGGTCAGGTCGGGTTAGATGGCCAAATGGTACGCATGGATCTTGCCAGCAGGAGCCTCTCTAACTAGTCTGGCATTTTTGGCTTTAATTGGATTTTGTAGACAAACCTGCATAACATTTCAGGCTTCTTTTCACATTTTCTTCAATTTGTAAGTGAACACTCTCTGAACCTCTCCTTCTTTTCACACTTTTTGTTATTTAAGATTGCAGGCCCTACTTAGTACTTCTCTAAGCGATAAGAAAAGTTTTGATTTTTCTTGTTTCTTCAAATCTTTTACTCACATTTCGCGCACTCAGCGCTCCTCTGGTCTGCTTCTTCTTGTTCTTCTTCCTCGTGCTTTTGTCAAATGATAAGCCGTTAGCCGACGCCTCTAGCCCTCTGTCTCGCGCTAGCTCTCTCTCTCTGTCTGCTTGTTCTTGTTCTCTGAAGTTTTTTTTTTTTGGGATCTTGTTCGTTGATGTTTGTTGTTTTTGCTGTTGTTTGATGTTGATGACGTTCCGGTTTAAAAAGAAACGGAAGACCGTGAGATACTTGTGTGATTTGAAACCGCAGTTCACTATTAGACACTACTAATTAGGCTCTTGAAATTATATACTATATACTTTTTTCTTATACTATTGGCTTGTTTTCGTTGTTAGGCTCTGCAAGAAATACACACACGAGATTATTAAACTTTTCACTTTATTTTGCTTCTTCTTTCAGCTGCTCATTCTTCTTATTATGACTCTGTATGGGTAAACACACACGTACACACGCACAAACATACACAGATGCATAAAACTCGCGGCGGCTACTGCTTCTTCTTATTCTTTAAGAGCAGCCTCTTTTTTTTTTCATCGCTTCGTGTATTTTATAAAATTTTCTTTGTTGCAACTTGAGCATTTGTTTTAGCTCTCACCACACACAATCACACACACACACTATAGCAAACACTCTGGCATTCATAGCCATTAATTTATATATTTTCTGCTATATCTGCTGCTGCCTCTGGTGCCCACTCTTTATACGCGCACTCTTTGATTTTCTCTGGCCCCCACACGCCACTCACGTAATTCGACAATTCGACGGTACCTTTGCCGATTTCCACAATAACTTACTCGATTTTGCCGTCGAGAAGCGGCTATTGTATAATTGGCGATTTCTTTCCCCTCTGCTGCGCCGGAGCAAAGATTTCCCTCTTAATAGCCAATCTTGCTATTACTAACTTTCGAGCCGACTGTTAAAATATTACCTTTCCGAAAACGCAGCGAAATACCTGTCTGGTATAAATAAGGGATTTTTAAATACCAGAAAGGCAAATAAATGGTACTTAAATACTATTATTATTTTAGTACTTTTTATACTAGCTTAACAGGCGCGCAATTCAAATATCGATAGAAATATTAGCGATAATAGCAATAAAATTTCTTTGTCGATATTTTTGCGCTCTTTTTTATTATTATGCATGAGTAACAAGTTATTACAGATATTATTATTATTATTAAATATTATTATTACTAATAACAGATAATTTAAATTCTTTTGGTGGAGGAAAAGTTTTTATATTTCAAAATATATTTCATTTAAAGTGGGGTATTGTAACAATCAACTTCTGTTTATCTTATCAAGAGTGTTATTCAACACTGTTTTAGAGGATATTGCCGTAAACTTTATTTTGTTTACTACTGTAGAGTACTTGAACAAAATCACGTTTTAAGATTTTTGTTGAATAACGCTTAAAATATTAAGATTTTTTTTAAAAACCACCAAAAAAGCCCTCTCTAACCACATTCAAATCGTCCCGTGTTCCATTTCCATGTTCCAGTGGGAACAGAAGTGGCACTCCATTGGCAACACTAATTTTTAAAGATGAAACAAAATTTCGAAACCAAACAAGAGATTAGAGGCACAGTGGAAAATATTAAATTTATTTTGTGACTTATAAACTCATAGTATTTCTGTTATAGAAATTAAGCGAAATCCAGCTACAAAACAATTAACTCCCCTTAAGACCAGGGACAGAGAACCCAGCTGTTGTATGGCCCGCTGGTCACATTTATTTCACAGTGGAACGAAACCACGAACCCAGCCCTGAGACCCGAGACACAGTGGAACGACTCGGGAGAAACAAAAAACAACCCAGCGCGAACGAACGGCCACTTCGCGGCGGATCCTCTAGTATACGGCTAGTAAAGTTCAATCAGTCGGCCCATAATGTTAAAACCAAAGTGCAAATAATAATTAATAATAGTGGTCCTGGTCCTGGTCTGGTCTGGCTGGTTTTTCCGACGAGTGCGATTATCTTCGACGGTGGAGCGGTGCGCAGAGGTAGCCCGAACGCATCGAGGAAAATCTAATACACAAGTGAAAAGTTACAAAAAAAATAATAGAAGAAAATAAAAGAAATAACGCGCGTGTGTTTGTTGTTAGTGCGCCAGTTGTTGTTTTGTTAGTTTTGAAGAAAAAAGGGCGTCGCAGTTTGAAAATTTATGTGTGCATAAAAAAAAATCAAACTGCAGCAGTAGAAGCAGCAGAAGCAGAAACAGCAGCCGCAGCCAAGCCAAAAGGAAAAAAAAAGAAAGAGAGCGAACCTGGAGAGAGGAGAGAGCGAGCGGGGGTGAGGCACAATAGTTGGCGTTGTCGTCGTTGTTGTTGTTGTTGTTGCCTGCAGCTCAAAGGTGAGTGAGTGAGTGCGTGCCGAATGTTGTTTGTAGTGCCAACTTGCTAATTTAAGCCTTTGTTGTTGGCTTTTATTTTTTTTTTTTGGTTTATTCTCTGGTTTTTTTTTCCACTGTTTTTGGCCCATCAACCACACCTATGCACGCACACCGCCATCCAGGCACGTAACTGCAGCCCGCAAAACGTGTCGGTGTGTGGGTTTAGTTTAAAAATTTAAGTTTTTTTTCCGTCAATAATCTGGGGCGGTTTTGGTCCAGCTGGCTGGGTTCTTTTGGCCTTAAAAGCTAAAGGTTTTTTGCCCTCTAATTATTTTGGCTTTTAATTTTTTAGGTTTGGGAGTAGTTTTATTTTCATTATAAAATATAGCTATTGATTTATGGATGGTTTATGTACTTATTTAAGTTTTTAAATATGTAATATTTTAGTTGGGAATTTGTTTGCAATATATTTGTTTTCATATATGACTTTTTTATGGCAGAAGACTAGGAGGATTAAAGGCCTGTGTGTTTTTATTTATTTATTTCAATATAAAACCCTATAATATCTTGGTATGATTTTGAAATATATGGGTTATATACATACTTATATAGATATCGTATTTAAACATTTAAAATTTTTTAAAATCAATGATAATTTTGCTAAATAAACAATGTTTTGGTTGGTAATTCGTCTAAAATATTTAATTTCATTCTTTTCTAAGGTGGTGGTATAAGATAGTTTAGTTAAGGAACTATCTGAAAGATAGTTTTATCTTAAAAAACTAAAAAAAAAGGTAGAGTTTTTTATTTTTTTATACAAAAGTTATTAAAACCCATGAAGTATAGTGTTCATAGACCTGACTAGTCTTACTTTTTAGTAAAAGAAAGACAACTACAGGCTACAAAACAAGAATCTTAACATATTATGGAGGTTTGAATTTTAAATCATGTCAGAAACCATAACCAAACCAAAACAGGAAAAAGACCTTTATTCTTATATTTTTTATATTAGAAATTAATTATAAATGCATTATTAAAATTTAAAACATAAACAGACAAAGAACTGGCTTCAAAATCTATACCCCTTTAGTTAGTTTAGCTTTGTAAACTTTTCTACTTCTCTTTTTTATCAATAATAATAAATATAATAATAATAATAATGCCCCTGGTAATTAGATCCGCTCCTGGAAAGTGATACGGATGGCCTGGCTTTCGCTGCTGCGACTGCACTTTGATTACAATTTGTAGTTGGCATCCCCACACCCCTCGCTGACATCTACATAACACAATTAAAGTTAATAACAACTTCAATTCAATTAATAATAAACAGAATAGAGAAATTCAAGCATTTAATGGCATGGCAACCATTTCAATAAGCTTATTTACACAATATACATATGTGTTTATGTACATAGCATGTACTTGTAGTACATAAATGCCTTTCTTGATCAATTCACTTGACTGCACTGTCTTCAGTCTTCAGAGATAGTCTTCGAGGCATGTTTGTTTAGTTCCTTTGATTGTGGCTTCTTCCTGTTTGTTGTTGTTGTTATTATTTAGTAATTGTATTTGCTTGTTGTTGTTGTTGTAAGTTATTGTTGCTAGTCGGAGACAGGCACGGCTGCAATTGAATTTGTCTGCAATTGAATTAAATTCAAGAGGAAAGATACACAAAACACTGTGAGAAATTAAAGCTACTTTGCTTAAATAATTGAGAGATGTTAATAAATATAAATGGGTATTATTTTTCTCTCAGTGTAGTCTTGTTAGCAGCTATTTCTGGCCTCTCTGTTTATATTATTTATTTAATTTTGTGTGCAGATCGAGCGCCTCGAGAAATAATCTCTTTTCTGGGCTGCCGTCTGAGACAACTGATGATTTTATTTATGAGCTATATAGATATATAGATATAATATATAATATATATATCACATTCCTTAAAATGTTTCAACTACGTGCTCATGAGTTTGTTTAATTTGATTTTGAAATTAGCCTCCATCATGGCATGGCTTTTTCCTCCAAAACTTTGTTGCCAACGGCGCCAAAAAAAAAAAATAAATAAACTAAAACCACTTATACATACATAATACATGTGAGAATTTTGAGTGCGAAGACCTAGACATTAGCCTGCTATGACGTCAAATATCAAGAGGGCGGTGGGTGGTAGGGTGGTCTGGCAATCTCCCATAGAGAGAGAGACAGATATGTAGATGGCTTTTGGGAGAGGAGATTAACGGCTTAGGTGGGACTCTATAGGGGTTATAGGGGCTCATTTTTTTTGGTAATTTTCCTTCAGTCTTTTTAATGATTTTTAATCATCTTTATATCCCCCATTTATCCATTAACCTCCTCTCGATGGAAATATTTCAATCAAACGCTCTGATGAATTGCTTTCGGATATAACCCACTTTCTGGACTTTATTTCACTTTCATTTTCCATTAATCTTGGCGAATGCCTAGTATCGTGCATTATGCAATATAATACCGCCAAAACACGCAAATTATTAGCATATTTAATCAGGTTGGTTTTCATTCGACGGCAAGGTAACCGCAAAAAAAATAACCATTAAAGCATTGGACTTTATTTTGTTCTTGAACTTCTGGCCCATTCGATTTGTTTTTGTTTTTGTTTTTGTTAATTCTTTCTGTTTATTCTCATTCGCCTCGTTCTGTTGTTTTTGGGCGTGTGCCCAGAACAGAAGCAGAGGACCAGAGAGAAAGTGCTAAGAGAGTGGGAGAGGGAGAGGTGACCCGGCTCTTAAATGACTTTTGTCCTAGCAACACCTGGTTTCTATTATAATTTGTATATTCCTATGGTATATGAGGGTTTTCTGATTAGGTTAACCCTAATGGGAGATTTTCTATGAAAGATGGGCCTATTGTTAATAATTTTTAATGAAAAAATCACTACCGATTGGTCTGAAACTTCTGGAATAAATGTATTTCAAGCTGTGGATTACTGTAGAAAGATATATAGCTCGTTAATTTTCCTAAAAGCATTTTTTTTGTAAATTTTTCATTTAAAAGGCTCTTTAATACGTTCTTACCCAGATCCTTAATGACTTTTGTTGTAGCAATACCTAGATTCTTTCATATTTTCATATTCTTATGATACAAGGATATGAATACGAGGGTTTTCTGATTAGCCCACCCCTTTAGGATAAATTTCTTTATAGGATATGCTTAATTTTAATAATTTTTAATATAAGTATCTTTGCTGATTTGTTTGAAACTTGTGAAATATATGTAATTCGAGGTGCTAATTACGATAGAAATTGTTAAATTCCTCGCAAATCACTTATAGGCATTGTTTTGGGTAATATTCCATTAAAAATGCTCTTTATTAGGTGCTGACCCGGCTCTTAAATGTGTTTTGACCCCCAACTTTTAGTTGCTTCTATATTTTTAATATTATTATAGAACATGAGTGTTTAATGATAAGCCCTACCCTTGTGAAAAACTCTCTATAAATAATATATCTATGTTTATTTAACTTTAAACCCAAAATCCACCAATGATTTGTCTGAAACTTTCAGAATACATATATTTCGAGGTGCTGATTACGATAAAAATAATCTGGTTCCTCGTAAAATTAGTATGAGCGTTGTATAGGCTCATATTTCATTAAAAAGACGTTCAAATAAACCAAAAACCATGTCAATGCCACCAGAAGACCTGTAAAGTCACGTTTTTCTTCAAAACTGTTACCATATGCACCAAAAAATCATAATCTTTAAGGCTGATTAGATTCGTCTGCAAATTTTTTCCCCCACTTGTTAATACTAATCTCGTTGATTACGTTTATTAGTCGTAATTGATTGATAAAAGAGAGAGTCTACTGTATTATTTCTCAATTCTTTATTTAAGGCGACAAGTATGGTCATAAAAGACGTTGGGTTTTAAAAGGAATTCTGAGTGAAATACGCAGAAAAGTGAGAAGCAGTGTCATAAAGTGATATTTCATTTTTAGATTAAGAGACTAGGCTTATAACCTCAACCATTTAGGTTATAGCTCTCCATATGAGTCACTGAAATCTTCCACTTTTTAGCTACTGCGTATCTACTGTATCTCTGACTCACAAGTATCTGTATCCCATAGTTAGAATTTTAGAAACAAATATGACACTGACCTTATAAGTTCAACTACAGTTGGGTTGTTGTTACCGCTCTGATGGCCCCACCACACATAAGTTGAAACAACTTCCGTTGTGAACAATTTACACATAAATTGTTAAATTGTTTTGCGCAAAAAAAAGCAAAAAAATAAATAAAAGCGATGGGCACAGCACAAACTTTTCACTTTCACCTTTCGAAAAAAAAAATAGATGGAAAGGCAAGAGAGGACTTGTCAATCAATAATTTAATATTTGATATGCGACATATGGAAGACAAACAGGAAGAGGCCCCCAAGCCAGACAATGGGGCTTTGCTTTGAAAATAAAAATGTAAAAAAAATATACAAAATAATCATTATATAACGAGTTGAAGACAAAGGTCTGGTTAGTTTCAGCATAACTGTCTTCCCTCTGAAATCAATAAATATTATATCCCCCCTTTTTTTTGGTTTAATGTTGGACTTTGTGTTGAAAACAATTTAAATTCATCAAGCGAATGCGATCAACGTCAGTGGCAGTCGCAAATGAATCATTCTCGGTCATCAGAGGAAGGGGTTTATACTTAATGGGGGCGGAGTAGCAAGCCCCCTCATGCTGGGGCTCCTTCCAAAAATGGCTGGCTGGCGAAAAACTTGTTTTTAACTTTTGTTTATGTTTATTTTGTTGTATTTCCCGGTTCTGTTCTCTCTGTTCCCAAATGACCATTTCAAGCATAAATATTTTTCCGAGAGACATAGCTGCCTGCCTGCCTGGCTCTGCCAAGCTTTGTGTTTTCCTTTCCGGTCATCTCGGCTTTCATGAGTTTGATATTTCAAGCACGACACTCTGGCCAAAGCGCGCCTCATTTGTTTATATATTTATTTTATTTATTTTTGCGTATTAGCATTTTAGTCATGCCAGGCAGCC